ACTTACTGCAGAAGAATCCTCAGCCCAACAACAACATATTTATACTATTAAGAAATATAAGTAAAAAACTTTTTATTTGAACAATTTGCAAAAAAGAATATAAAATATTTTGAAATTTTGGCAATGTCCAGTTATTATAATGTCATGTAAATTATTGATTTTTGTACTCAATAACAATAAACCCCCTTCTATTTATATCCTATCAGCATAACCCAGGAGAGAGATAAACTCATTCAATTTATGCTTAACAAATATAGCATTCAAGTAAATTCATTCAATTTATGTTCAAACTAAAAAGGCCTAGATAAATCTTTTGAATTTATATGAAATCAGTACATCCATAAATTAAACTCCTTAATCAATCTTTAAGTTTTTAATTAAATGCATTTCGTTTGTGTAATCAATAGATTAAATGGGTAAATCAGTGTCTAGAATATGGACTTTTATGTAAACTGATGAGTTATTATCTGTAATTTAAGGGGATTTGCTCCTCTTGTTTAGTAGTTCTTTTAAAACCAAGATTTATCACCACCAAAAACAATAGTGTATATTAGTTGTATTAAAGAAGCTTATATTATATTTACCCTTTTTAATAAGTCATCAGAAAATTTAAACTTTCATGTGATAGCCAGCATTAATTTATTATTGTTCTCACCATTTAGTTGTACTTAATATCTATCAAACTGTCAACATTGTAATGTTTTTGTAAATGTAAACATTAGCTTCTTGTGGCATCATTTTTGTTATTTTGCTAAGGTAAAATGTTGCAAATTGGGCAGTCAGTTTGAGTTCCAAATGTATATATTTGTTATGATATTGGCTTGGGTTTAGCTGACAGTGTAAACATGATTAAGTTTAAATAACATGCTTCAGAATTACTAAAACTACTTGCAAAGCAATAGGACATATGACTAATTCATGTGATAGACATTTATTATATGAATGTATAAAGTAGTTTTTAGAAGCCTTTTTACAATACAGTAAGCAATATACTGTCAGTCATTTTTCTAGATCAATTTAATATTTTATCGAAATTTTGAAAATTCTGCTTAACTGCACAAGTATAATATGTAATTTCTTCAGTATTAGTCAGTTTGAAAATTGAGAATTAGAATTTTATTTTACTATCTGATACTGCTTCCTAGACCTATCTATTTTGTTCATACAGAACTGTATTTAAAAGCTTTTAGAATATCTTAGTATTTTTAAATCTTTATCTGTTTTATTCATTCTTCAACATTTTACTGGCATTAATTCATCTAGATGATATTCCAGGATGCAATCTATAGACATCTGTGAATTTTCTTATATAAAGTTTTCACTGTCTGAGATCAGCATCATTCAAGAGTTTGCTTTTTTCTTCAGGATCAGGTTATCTGTTTTTTGTATAAAATAGTTAATTAGCAGGATTTTTGCTCATAACTAATTTGTAACATAGCTCTTCCGATTATAGTAGTTTTAAAGGTGATGCTTTTCATTATGAGTTAAATCAGAAGGATATGTTGACATTAGAAGCCTATAATTGTACTGTATGACTAGTGGTTGCATAAGACACAATTGTTTTTCATATGAAAAGTAATATTTCTGCCAATCACTGATGATGCACCTTGATCTTTTGGATAGATTGATGAAACCCATGGTTAGATTTTAATTTATTTTTTCTTTTCTCTATTTATTTTCTGGTGTAGACTTTTTCACAGTTAAAGAACTTTTGCTTGCAGTTATCTCACAAGGTCTATTAAAATTCTTACTCACTGTGAAACTTTGTTGAATGAACGACAACTGCCTGTTGTAAGGACACAAGTGTAGAGGATGATGTTTCGAAAGTGTTCTGCCTTTCGTCTTCAGGTCAGTGTGTGTGAGGTGTCAGTCTTTATAGTATTCTGGTGGATTGTGGAGAGCATGTTATGATTGGTTGGGTTATCCTTGTTTCTGATTGGAGAGATTTCCTGTAGATTCAACCAATGGTAGCCACAGGTTACTCACTTCTAATTCGGAATCTCTGGTTAGTGGAGGTTTAATTGTGTTAATACAAAATGATTTTTTACTAGACAAACACCAATATAAAAAAGATCGCCAATGACACTACATAAAGGACAGAGAGACTCATCAATAGAACACTGAATAAACTTAAGAAACAAAATTTAATCAACTAGAAGCTAGACTTAAGAACCAACGAAAACTTCCCCCCTCAGTTCTATGGACTACTTAAGGTACACAAACCCAACATACCTTTAAGGCCTATCGTCAGTGCTGTAAACTCACCTTGCCGTCAACTAGCTATCTTCCTAGTACCTATCTTATCTCCACTACGAGGAAACACCAAACATCGTATTCAAAACTTTACAGATTGTATAGAACAACTCAAAAAGCTACACATCAGATCTCAGGATATTCTGGTCAGTTTTGATGTCACAGACCTATTTACCAATGTTCCAACCTCAGAAACCTTCAGATCACCAGACAATGACTGCTCAATGACAACTCTCTACAACACAGAACTGACATAAAGATAGATGCCATCATGGAACTAATTACTACAATCAACTTATTTCCAATACAGCAAAGAATTCTAAGAACAAACAGATGGTCTAGCCATGGGATCACTACTCTCTCCAATCCTAGCAGACATTTTCATGGAAGACTTTGAAGAAAGAGCCCGTTCATCCACACCTATAAATCCAAGTTTCTACAGACGTTATGGTGACAACATCTTCGATATTTGGCCCCATGGTCATGGAAACTTACAAGCCTTCTGAGAACATCTTAATTCCATTGACAAAAGAATCCACTTCACCATGGAAACAGAGGAACAAAACAGCCTACTATTTCTTGACATGCTCATCAGCAGACAAGAGAGAAAACTCACCACAACTGTATACAGAACATTCACCCACACGAACAGATACCTACACTTCCAGTTCTATCATCATAACTCGATAAAAATTGGTATAATCCAATGCCTAAACAAGAGAGCAGAAAACATTTGTGATAAGACATCCATCGAAACAGAATGTCAAAAGATCATAGAAGGTTTTCAACAGAATGATTACATCTTCTCCTTCATCATAAACTCCCTGAAGAAGACCACAACAGAAAGAAAAGATCAGAAAAACACTACCACTACAAACATTTACCTCCCCTACCTGCAAAATTTCAGTGAAAAACTCAAACGCATAGCCAAGAAATTCAACATAGAAGTCTGGTGGAAATCCTACAAGACATTAAGGTCCATTCTGGTAAAAAAATAAACAGCAACCTACCAATGAGAAACACAGAAACATCATTTATGAAATTTAGTGTTCCTACAACATTGGAGAAATGGGAAGAAGACTCATGACAAGAATAAAAGAACATAAAGACAGTACAAGATTCATGAAAACACAAAATTCAGCCATTGCAGAACACGCCATGTCAACTGGACACAAAATAAACTGGGAAAACTAGAATCATAAACACAGACAAGTTTTGGAAGACAATAAAAAAAGAATCATTTTATATTAACAGAATTAAACCTTCACTAAACAGAGGTTCTGGATTAGAGGTGAGTAACCTGGGACTACCATTGGTTGAATCTACAGGAAATCGCTCCTCCAATCAGAAACAGGGATAAACCAACCAATCATAACACGCTCTCCACAATCCACCAGAATACTATAAAGACTGACAACACCTTACACACACTGATCTAAAGAAAAAAGGCGGAAGACTTTCGAAACGTCGTCCTCTACACTTGTGTCTCTACAACAGGCAGTTGCCATTCATTCTACAAAGTTTCATCATGAATACTCTGCCTAAACAATCTATCAAAGAATGTTACTTTCAGACAGCTAGACAATGAGACATGCTCTGTTATAGGTTTTGTTATATCTGTGTATTGTTCAACTTCCACCTCGTATTCCTTTCTACCTTTTGCTAAGGAATTGCAAAACAAAATATTTTGAGAGTGCAACTTCCAGTGGAAGATTTAACATGTGTATAAGCGAATGGTGCCATATATTATCAATAGGAAAATGACCTGTATAAAGATATAAAGAAATTTCTGATGGTTTTCAACTTTCTATCATAATACAGGATTAATGTTTCAAGTTTGACTTTATAAGTTTGAAAGCATTTTAATTTCAGTTATGTTTATGTTCTTTTGTTGAACATATGTATTTGTATTCTCTTACCTTGATGTTTAATTTTGTAGTTATAAAACTTTTTTTTTTTTCAGAAGTTTTTGCATAAGTAAAATTGTGCATAATCTTTTCAATTCTTCATGGTACAGGTGAAGATGTACATTTGGATGTGATTGATGTAATGAAACAAGAGGGAGATATTAAGATGACAATGAAGGAGTGGGCAGATTATTTTGAAAACCCTGATAGAAGTAGAGTGTACAATGTTATAAGCCTGGAATTTTCCAAAACAAGGTGATTTTCTTTACTTATGTGAATAAACTATCTGTACACATTTTGTGCCTTAGAAAAAAAAACCTTTTTTTCTGATTTGTTTCTTGTTCTTTTCTTTGTGGAAGACATAAATACTTTTGTACAAGTAATTTTAAGGCTGGAAACAGTGATTTTTCCTTTATACCAAATGTGATAAATACTTTCTTCTTTAAGCACGTATGTTGAACACGTGTATTTGTAAATACTGTTTTGTTTGTACTTCTACAGGCTGTCTGAATTTGTTACTCCACCATCTATTGTGAGGAAGATAAGCTGGGTAGAGACATGCTGGCCAACCAATCTTCCTGAAGATTGTCCTTATTCTCGACCAGCTGTTATGAAGTATTGCTTGATGGGAACAAAAGATAGTTATACAGATTTCCATATTGATTTTGGTGGGACCTCAGTTTGGTATCACATCCTTAAGGTATTCTCATCCTTTACACAAGTAACTCCACATTCTCCTTGACTTTAATTGTGGATATTTCTTGCTTCTTTCACAGTTATAAGAAATCACACTTTCGTAGTGAATAGTGTAACGTTTTTTTGTTCTGAGTGCTTGTTTTAGCAAGGATATAGTTGTCATGTATTTTGATTGGTGATATTTATTTGTGCTTAGTACATGGAAATTGGACATGACCTAACAGTTAGTGTGCCAGGCTGCGAATCTGATAATTTGTGGTTCATGTCCCATTCCCACAAAATCATACTCTGAGCTCTTAGACAATGGATTTATTATGAAAGTGATGGTTAAATTCCACTATTTGATTAGAATAACCCCAAAAGTTAGTGGTGGGTGCTGTTCACTTGCTGTCTTCCCTTTAGTGTATCAGTTCAAAGTTAGAGATGACCAGCCCCTAAAGCCATTGTATAACTTTGCACAAGTATTTGGAACAAACGGTATAACATGAACCTGATTGAGTTGCGTATATTCCGTTTATTGTGACTGACTACCCATTTGTGACCAGCCCCTATAGCCATTGTGTAACTTTGCACAAGTATTTGGAACAAACAGTATAACATGAACCTGACTGAGTTGCCTATATTCCGTTTATTGTGACTGACTACCCATTCGTGGAATGTGTATTCGCTGTTAATCTCCAAACATACCAACATTTGTTCTGTAAATTGAAATATAATATTTTGTAACTCTTATAACTCGTGAAAAGTTTTTCATAATTGTATAACCATATTTATATATTTCTTAATTTGTTCTTCAGTTTGTTTGAGAAACTGAGGATATTAACTTAATTGAATAGTCTTATACAAAGTGAGTTATTGTGTGTGTACTTTATCAATTGCATATATATATAGTTTAAAAAATGGAATTATAGGTTACTGTGTTTAGATAGCTATAAATCATTGAATAAACTATCTTATAATTCATTTAATAAACTATTGTGTGATTTTTCATCAGACTACTTGCTATTTATTTATTTTTACAAAAAAGTGACATTTCTGTGTAAGAAATTATGTCTAGATATAACATTAATTTACATTCAGGTAAAATTAGTGATGTAAAAGAAATAGTTTTATTTCAGTATTGTGTTTTGTAGACTATTAAAATCTATGTACTAGTTTCAAAAAACTGAGAAAGATGTAAATTGTTTTATAAGGAATATTTTAATGAAATAGTGTTAGATGCATTTGGGAGATAATAGGACGATAGTATAAAACCCTATTTTTACATATGCTACTTCATACGCATTTGTCCTATAGTGATTTTTAGTGTATGAATGAAAAGAAAAAAAAAAGATCAAATATTAAAACAGAAAAGTACTGTATTAGTTTGTTTTGTAGATTTTGACTTAATTTATATTGTTTTTTAAATTTTTTGTGTGTGTTTAATTAGAAACATTTGTCATGTATATAGTTTAATGATACATATCTTTAAACATTGATGTATATATGTATAGGGTGAAAAAATTTTCTACCTCATTCGACCTACTCCAGCAAATGTTTCACTGTATGAACGATGGATGTCATCTGCCAATCAAAGCGAGATGTTTTTTGGGGACCAGGTTGATTCCTGTTATAAACTAATTCTAGAAAAAGGAAGTACACTTTTTATACCAGCAGGGTGGATTCATGCTGTACTGACATCAAAAGATTCATTGGTGTTTGGAGGAAATTTTCTCAATACTTTTAATATACCATTACAGTTACAGTAAGTATATTTGTCTCCTGTCTTTGATATATTATATTTCTTTGTGTTCTTATAATAATATTTTTACTTTATCAATATGTCATATACTTCTTAACTTTTTCCAAGTTTATGTGCATTTAATTTCAGTGTAATGTTCTCATAAGAGTTCTATTTGAAATAAAAGTTACTTAAGTCCAAAATATTATGTAATTTTTGAGCTTAATGAAATATGACTTTAATAGCTTTTGTTGTGTGGGAATACCATGAAGCTATTGATGCTTAGGAAATTGTATTTAAGGGATTTTGTGGTTTTAAATAATTAATTTGACTCTATCCCAAAAGGGAATCTTAGGATGTCAGTTTAATTTATAACCTTTGTTGGAATATACTACACTCATAACTTACTGCTCACTTAGATCAACAGTGTGCCTTGAAATTGTCATTACAATCACTCAAAAAGTAACCTACACATTTTTTTCAACTTTGAGTTATTTTGAATAAGTAAAGTAAAATAATTAAAGTAGATAGTTACAAAGAAGTCAATCCAGGAAAAAACAACGTAACAATAGTGATAGTGAGGGTAAAACAAACCTGTATGCTTGAAGCTCTGAAGTCCCAAAAGTTTTCAATATCATTGTTATTCTTACCAAAAAAGTTGTAAATATTTACTCATTTTATATTAATGTAAAGCTTTGTACTTTGAAATTCAGGCTATAATGAGATAGAGAGCAGTGTTGGTAGTGTTTAATGGGATGGAGAGCAGTGTTGGTAGTGTTTGTTTGCTGACTTTTGAAATTTTTGTTGCAACCTTAGAAATGAAGTAGTAAAAGGAGTACTTAAAATATTTGCAATTGATGTGTTCCAACCATTTGTTCATAATCTGCTTCTGATTTCCATATCTAGGGTACTGAAGGTCTAATTTTGTTGTGGTGCAGTAGATCCTAATTCTCCATACCCTGTTTACCTGTGACTTCAATTATTCCCATTCTTTGATGTGTATGAAACATACTGTTTTGCTCATTTGCTATTACAACTAAAAATAAATAAAATTAAGGTCAAGTTCCTGAAATGGATTTTCCATTGGTAGAACAGCAATAACTTTGAGGACTTACAACACTAAAATCTGGGGTTTAATTCTCTGCGGTGGACACAGCAGCTAGCCCAATGTAGCTTTGTTCTAAAACGAACAAACAAACAACTGAAATGGATTAAATCTAACAATAATGCATAATTTTGATAACTGTTTGTCAGGAGATAACATTATCCGTGTACATTTTCTCATATGTACTGTAGTTAACTGGTTGTTTTACTGATTTTCAGAGTCTATGAAACTGAACAGAGGATAAAAACCCCACACAAGTATCGGTTTCCATGGTTTGAAACAACACACTGGTTTGCTGCAGAGCTTGTTCTCCAACAGCTAAGGGGTACAGTTAATTAAAATTTATCTTTTTTTTCTAATTTTTTTTGTAGATTGTTTAAGCGTATCTTAAAAAGTTTGTTTTTTTAGTAAATCATATTGATTGAAAGGAAGATTTTTTCTTTTTTTAGTTGCCACAGCAAAATCTTCAATTAAACTAAATTCCATTTATGAAATTTTATTTTAAATAAAAAATTATTTGAATATACATACCAACTTATAATGTTAATACATTTGTGATAAAAGGTAAACTCTGTTAAAAAGATACTTGTTAGTGTAACTGTAATGTATTTACATAACAATGAAGGTTTCACGTCACCAAGTAAAACTTGTTGAATGTTTCTGTGGGCTAAGGATTAATTAACTTATTTTGTTTTAAATAATACTTACACATTTTAACGAATGTAAACATAAAGTGTTAAATAGAGATAAATTTTACAAAAAGAGATGATAAACAATGACAAACCTTCTTGTGGAGAAAATTATGTTTTATAGTATATGAATGGTGTATTGATTTCTGTTTGATTATAATATTTTATCTTGCTAGCACTATTTACCTGTTTATAAAATTATAGAATTAAAAATGTTAGATTAGATGCCAAAACAATGCTTAAGGAATGTTACTATGGCAAGATGGAACATTTGTTGACAATGCTTAAGGAATGTTACTATGGCAAGATGGAACATTTGTTGACAATGCTTACTATGGTAAGATTGAACATTTGTTGACCATTTTAAGAAAATGCATAAACTTTATAATTACTATTGGATGTACAGCAAGCAGATATTAAAAAGAAATGAAATCATTCAGACTGGCTTATGAAGTGATTTTCATTTCAGCCTTTCTGGTAATTTTGAGTTTTTCACTCAAATTCTCTCATGTTGTTACAGCTTCTGGACTGTCCCGTTAATACAAGTTTAAGTCGGAACTCACTGCATCAGAACTCTTTACTGTTTTTAAAATCAGATTTTAATACTTGCAAATACAGTGATTGAATTAATTGGTTTAGATTGAGTTTTTTATACAACTGTTTGCACATTTTGGCAGACAGATTATATACTTAACACACCACAAACACCTCTGCTGAGATGACAAATATACTGTACCTATTGTCAGTATACAGGTTCTGAAGTGACACTGTTATTATTAATCTCAGCTAGCACTACTGATAGCTTAAATTGGCAATGAACTAACACCATTATTAGCACTGACATTGAAGCGATACTGTTGTTAGCATCTAATGGCATTAAGTCAACATCATTGTTAGCACCTACTGCCATTGAAGTGACGTCACTTTTAGCACCTATCGGTATTGAGATGACACCATTGTTAGTATCTACTGCTATTGAAGTGACACCATTGTAAGTACCTACTGCCATTGAACTAAAATCATCATTAGCACTTATTGGCTTTGAAGATACACCATTGTTAACACCTAATGGCATTAAAGTGATACCATTGTTAGCAATTATTGGTTTTAAGGTGATGCAATTGCTAATCTGTACTGGCTCTGAGGTGAGGCCAGGCTTAAAATTATTTCTGTTTGCTGTAACCCAACCAACCTTTTGAAATTGGGGCCAACTGAGAAATTTTTCTGACATTATGACCTGAGAAATTTTTATTTTCACCAATTTCTACTGATACACTGATCCATCTAACAAAAGTTGCCAACTTTAAAATTTTTATCGCCACATTGTGGTTAGAATATAGTTAGATATACACTATAATTTAAGTATAGTGTGAGTGTTAAATTTTATTATTTTTAGAAACGATTGTTTATCACGGGTTTGTTTACGTAACTGTGCGAGTCATACATTGTGTAGTCCAATTGTCATAAATTGGTGATTATTGTATTATTGTGTCATGTTTCAGAACCTTCTAAGCTTTTCCTGAGTATTAATACATCGTAATATCTTCTAGTGTGTGGAAAGTTCTAGGCCTTAGTTGCTATTTATAAATACACGTCTAAAATGTAGTTCAAGTAAGACAAAGTTAGTGAAAGATATAGTCAGTTAGATCTAGACTGTGTGTTTGTAAGTTTAGTTGTAAAGAGCATATAGAAGCTGTATGATCTGATGAAGAACGCTAGCTCGAAACATCATCCTTCTTTAAATAAAAAATATAAAAAACTTGATGATTGTTCAACCCATTCTTTAATTTCAATGTTTGAAAACATGGCTTATTTGTCCTTAGGACCATTCACACTTAACTAATAAATACATATACTAGCAGGGGAGAATTTACTATTGGTGAGCGTACATCAACAACACGGCAAACACAAGTCTGTTTAGCATATCTATCTACAAAAAAATGTTTTCATGGATTGAGGATGAGGATAAGAAACAAACTAATTCCAATTGTAAACTTATCCAGGTGAAGGAACATACTTATAGAATGAGACGAGGATACATGGTTCGTGTCCCATAATTGTTGTCCACAATTTGGGACCATGTATGCATGATAGTAAAATGATTATTTTGCACTATTTGATTAGAATAGCCCAAGAATTGACACTGGGTATCATTAATTAGTTATCTTCTCTCTAGTCTTATCAGTTAAAAATTAGAGACTGCTAGTTTACCTGACCCTTTTGTAGCTTGTTGCAAATGACTGAAACAGATTAAACAAACCAAAGAATAAAATGTAAAAATATAAATTTTGTGAAACTTGAGGCTTAACTATGATCATACCTTTTTGTTTTCTGTGAAAGAAAATTTATAGCATATTTAATATGGAGCTTACATGCTGGTTAAGAATTGGGGGTGGCAACTTAGTTCCTGGGATTTCCATTATTTATAGTATGTATAGTATCAGTAATATACTGTTTGTATTTTCTTGAAGAAGGTGTCAAAAAAACTAATTACCCTAAAATAATCTTTCACATTTATTTGAAATATTCCTATTTTTTCTTCTTCCAGTAATAAAATATATATCTCAAAGTACTTTGCTGTTCATTTGCCATAATGTGTTGCAATGGGTTTGTGTGTTCAAATCTATGTGGCTCACTGAGACGGGGGTGCTAACAAAAGAGTAAAAAAATAGATAGTGAGTTTGTATTAAACTTAGCTTTCATATGACATTTAAATTGCCATAAAAATCTAGATTAGTTTCTTATTATACACCATACTAAAAATATGAAAATATTACCTTTGAATGTTTATGAATTTTGGGTAGTCTCATTGAAATGTTCTGTAGATGATAGTAGATCCAGAATTTACTTTTTTCAATAAACACAGTCATGCAGTTTGAATAAGATATGTTTTTTTTTAATTGTTAGTTACTGATACATGAATGTAGATAAATTAACCTAAATTGTAAGTAAAGGGATCCATTTTCTGTTGTATAGGAATCGTTGATCAAAAACAACTTTGTATCTAACTTATGCTCTTAGGTGGTTTTTGTTGTTGGACAGCTATTTTGGTGAGGGGGGGAGTTAGTAGTCATAGTCAGTTAATTATTTGGTTACTGTTATCATTATAACAAAAGTATTTTGTTTTTATTAGAGATTAACCAAGGAGAAAGAAAAGCTCCTCATTACAATGTAGCCGGAGCAAAATCTTTAATTACAGCATTAAAAGTCTGGAGTCAAGGCACAGAGGTCAGAAACGTATTCAGTCTTGAAGCATGTGTTATTTGTTTACTTTTTTTTGTGTCTGTTTCCTTCAACCATACAGAAGACAACAGTTTGTAAAAAACTTCTAATTATTCAAGTGTGTTACTCATTTAGGTCAGATTATGAAAACCATGTTACAGATATTAACTAAACATGTATTTTGTATCATGACCAGTTATTTACTACCCATTGATACATGTTTTCAGCAACATGAATATGAGAGTGTACTTTTCCTGTCTTTTTGAGGTTTAGTATGTATGATACTGAGGCAAAATATTACCAAGTTAATTTGAGATTTTAAAAGAATTGATGCAAATACACTGAGACTAGATACAGTATTGATAAATATATATTGCCTTTTTATGTGGAACCAAGTGTACTGTATAACAGAATAAAATATACATACATAACTATGTTAATGAAAGTACAATTAAACCTGTTAATAGAAATTTTAATCGTATTGATAAAGAATGTTTAAAGATTTTTCTGTCACAACTATACACAGAATATTCAGCAATATGTTCCCACAGTTTGTTACGACATTTTGGACAACAGAAATCTAATCCCAAAACTTACAAAATTTGTCCTTTCTCATTTTTACATGTGCTGTTTTAGTTCGTAGTTATGCATCTCATTAATACTCAGTCTTGATTATTTTTTTTTCTTTTAATGAATACTCCTTATAGAGTCTTCTTAATTTTTCACATTTGAAGAAGGCTGAAAGCTAATAACTAATTGTACAACTTTTTATTTTGTACTTTTAGTGTAATATTTGCTTCACAATTTGGTCCTAGATTAGTAGTACATGTGTTTAATCTTGCATTATTGTTTTTGTTTTATTGACAAACTCTTAAGATTATATGGTCTAACTATACTAGCAATATGGTACTTAATGTTTTGCTTAATCATTTTATCAGTTTCTAGTTCAAGTGAAGGAAATGGAGTTTTAATGCATTCATTATTCTTTCATACCACAAATTCTGCATAAACAGAATTACAATGTGATGATCAGAAGTTATTAATCTTTTTAGATGTGCTATTTATTAATAAATATGTAATTGCATAGTTTCTTTTTTTTATTTTAACTTTGTTTATTATATATATATATGTGTGTGTGTGTGTGTGTGTGTGTGCATGAGGCTAAAATAGAGTGAGACATATTTTGATACTTGGGTTTGCAGGTTAAAGGTAGAAGTCATGAGGATATTCCTGATGGAATTGATGCTGCCAAGTTGATAAAAGGGCTTTCCAGAGAAGTCAGAATAGTTGAAGTAAGCAACTTGTACACAAAGTTTTAACAATGAAGAGTGATCTTTGCTTTGCAGTTGTGGAAGACTTATTATTATTAGCTTGTATTTGTAAGAAAATGTTTAGATAATGTTTTTGTGATTGTTTTCCTGATCTTGCATGTTTTGTAGCTTATGAATTCTTGAAACACTTCAGAAAAGCTGAATAGGTCTCATTTAGATTATTTGCAAGCTAATATAAAATTTACCAAGTAATTAATAGTGTTAAGATTCTTAGCAGATGAAGTGAATAAAGAAGCTAAGATATTCATATGATTTTGCATTTTAAAAATAGAAAAAAACGTGAGATGACTATTGAGTAGCTTAGGATTGTGAGCCAAAAATAAATACCTTGCACATACTTAATAGCCTGAGAACTAAACAGAATTTGGCATGAAACATGTATGCATACAGATAATATGATCATTTTAACTCCTCTCCAAAATGCCATCTGGTGACTATACTCCTTATTCTTTTTCATTTGACCTTAATCCCATCTAGTTTCTGGGTCAGCCATTTGGATAATCCTTTGCCAATAATTTCTATCCTTCAAATCCTCCAGCATTATACCTGTCTCTCTCATGTCTTGATCTATCCTATCTTTCCAAGTTATACACTAGCACACACACAAAAAAAACTTGTCAAAATTAATGAATCTTAGCATACTGGTTGTTGAGTTTATGAATTAGCATGAAATTTACTAAGTTCAGTTGGTTTAATAGCTAAGGAAATATCCTCTTCTTTCTCACTGAATTTATTAAAAATGTTAATTAAGTTGAACTTAATGTCAAAATTTTACAAAATGAAGTAGAAGAGGTTTTCTCCGTATGTTTTTTTTTTTCCCATTACATATTGATTGAGATAATTTAAACTTTTTTTGTATGTTTAGAAGAGGCAAGCTATTAACAAGATAGTGAAAGAAGATAAGAAGCCTGTAAGACTAAGAAAACAACTGCATTCTGTGACAGGGAGTAGCCTAGATACAGATTTAAAAGCTGTAAGTGTCAAGTCAGATTTTGCTTTTTGTTTCAGGCCCTTTTATGCAAAGTGTTTCAATCATTGTATGTATAATTTGGATCATGGTCAAATAGATTCTTGCTGGAAAAAGACTGAATGTTTGTACAAATGTTTTTGAACCCCAACATTGTATTATATATAGTGTTTATTATTTTCTGATTTTTAGAACCAACATTCATACAGAAAATTCACAAAAGTAAAGAATTCAGTAAATATTTTGACTTAAAAGTTTTTATTCACCATTAAACCAGTATTTTATTTTCTAACTTGTCATCATATCTTCTATATTGGACTTATTTTATTTGGGACATATATTTAGCCACTGATATTCATTAAGATTAAGAAAGAAGTTTGAGGTAGTCAGTTCCAATGGTAACCAACATTTTTTATGTCTCACTATAAAATGGACCATTGAAAAGTTAAATTAAGTATGTTTCAAATTTTTGCTTATTTCTTATATTAATTGATATCACATTTCAACATAATGAATTGGTTGACACACAAAGCTTTTTAGAAACCAATTTTCTCGTTTATAAGCACTTATTGTGGAAAGGTCATTATTTTATGATACTTCCATGTTTACTACCTTGTGAGCTAAACAAAATACAAAAAAATGTATATTAGGTATGTTTAAAATTTTAGATATTTTTAAATTTTGAGTAGTGTATCCCAGTATGAGTATTTCTCAAAAGTGGTGATTGTACTATGTTAATTTTGTAGGTCATCCCAAAACATGAGATATCAAAATTGGGTGATGAAAACAAAGTAGTCACTTCTCTGAAACTGTCACTGAAGTCCAAGTTATCCTCTCAGGAATCCAGTACAGAAATGATCTCTTCCTCAAATCCATCACAATCTTCAATAAAGCTATGTATACCAAAGTCTGCAGTGACAGCTTGCCCTGGAAAAGGGAGAGCACGTGCACCAAGAAAGGATCTCAAAAATAATTTCTCAAAACAGAATTCTCAAGAAAATAAAGCAAAAAAAGGGAAACCCCTAAAATTGAAGGTTTCGTGTGGGAAAGTAGTAAGGTAAACCTATAAAACGAACCTATAATGACAAGTTAGCACCTTTTAAATGTAGAGTGAACACATGCATATGAATTTTCAAAATTTTAAGTACAAATAATTCTAAGGTCTATTTCAACAATTTTGACTGACACTGTTTTAGAATTGATATTTTGTTGTTTTGTAAACTTTATTTTGAGTAATTCACAAAGAATAATGAAAGAAAAGGTTCCAACTTTCATTCCTGTTCATCTCTGAGGAGTCTCTCCTGTGTAAATAATGTTTTTTTAATTTTTTGCCAATCTTGAAGCACGTCTTTATATTTGCTAAGAAAATATCATCCCTTGAGAATCTAATGATTTATGTCTTGTTTCTTACATGAGGTTCCATGTCTTTTAGCAGTTTCATTACCAAAGCCCTTCATTGCTACTTTTTCATGATGTCACAGTATGTGGTTTGAACAATTACTAACAAAGATCAGATTTTAAAATAGTTATAGCCAACTTTTGGGGTGAACAAAGGAATCTAGTGGGGAGTTTAAAAGATTGAGACACAAACCAATGATCTCAATTTTTTTATTTGTAGTTTCTTTAGATGTTCCTTTCATTTCTGAAAATTTTTTGTGCTAAATTATGTGTTTGAATGCTATGGAAGTTTTCTTCTATGTTAAGATATCAGGTAAAAGCTTAGTTAGGTTTAGCAAGTATGATAGGTGACAGCAAAATAATCTAAGAACTCGTATCCTTATTTATTGAATGTTAGTTAAGTTTATCATATTCAAGCAATGCACAGAAATAATGGAACTTATTTACTGAAAAGAAACTATTAGATACAACTAGCTCAACGAAGCATGTTAACAAAAATTATGATACATAGCCTGACAAAGGTAATGGTAACATCATTTTTTAAAGATGAGGTCCTAGGTCAATAATAAAGCTTTATCAATTTTTGCTATATTTTTTATGATGACTAGTGCAATTAGCAAAATAAAATTGTTCAATGAAAGGGAGTATTTTTAATATTTTTTGAAAATGGCATTTTACAACAAAATTTTGAAAATCTAAAAAGTGGTAGAAAAACTAAAATCACATGAGTTTTTTTTAAGCTAAAACTATCAAATTTCGGGAGCAGGAATAATGGGTTCAAGAACATTAAAACATTTTCTGTAATTTAGTCTTAAGACTGTTAAAAGTAAATACAAGAAATTATGGTATCTTGTATAGACAAACAACAGTCATTATAGATAAACTTATAATTACAATTATTTTAGTTTTTCTTCTTCTGGACTTAATAATTGCTGCTGGTTTTAGCTTCTTAGCAGTTTTGTGGGTATCTGGAGTTTTCATTGTCTACTTATTTGTAAAAATGATACTTCTTATTTTGTAGATGTAAGCCTAAAAGTTCAATCATTTATTAATGATTTTTTGGTTTTCAAAATCTTTGAAACTTGTATCTTATTGTTCACTGTTAATTTTTAAATAATTTTAATGAGAAGGATTTAAAACACTTAAGATTGGCCCTGTTTGAATAAACTTAAACTGTTCAGTGGGATAATTGCTTCCGTTTTTTTGTTTTTTTTCTAGTCTCTGCTGTTGATGTTTGTGTCTGATTACTAAATTTGAAGACAATAAGCCTCAGTTGTTTTATTTTTGCTTTCTGGTCATTTTAGCTCTTAATTAGGTGCCAAGAACAAAATGTGATGGGGATGATTATGAATTTCTCTTTTAAAAATTAATTTAAAAACTAGTATAGTTAGAGAGTTGTATATTTTTATTTTGCTGAAGGTTTTAGTTCATTTTATAATTATTGTAACCCAATATCTAGTAAAGTTAATTAATAACCAGCTGAAATTAAAGTTGTGCCATGATACTGTTGAATTAAATTTTCATATTACATCACTTCTGAGTGGTAACAGAATTTATGAGCTTTACTTTTGCTTGGATATTATATGTGATTAACTGTGAAATAACTTACTGCATTGATTTAAGTGCTAGGATAAGTTTATAGGTAGTATCAAGCTGCACAGTGGTTATATTTCAAATTTAGCCAGTTTTGAAAATGTAAGGGTCTTCTAGAGTTTTTTCTTGTAGCGTTTGCACACTTTAATTAGAAATGATTTCAATGAGGTATATATGTAATTTTACAGTGAAGAGAAGAAACCCATACAAGAGGTAAAGAACACATCTGTTTACGACTTTGTAGATTCTGAAGATGATGCATTAGTTGTTGATGAAAATCCACGTCTTCCTCCGAAACGGCCAAAAGCTTCAGCTGTAAAAAGAAAACCTCCTGGGGTAACAAAACAGAACAATTTAAAAAGCGAGCCATTAAAGCTAAGATTATCTTGTGAGTAATCTTGCAATTAAGTCAAAAAAAAAAGTTAAAGCTGTTTGCTATTGCAATTGAAGAATTCAACGAAAAGCTATTGTTTAAACTTCATTAACTATATACAATGATTTTTCTATCTAGACTAATTACATTTTGTATGGAAAACAAATATAAACATATTTCATTCTGTTGACTTGCTCAGTGTCATACAAATACTCCTTTTTTAAAGTATTCTTAATTTGTGTTTTACTGCAACATTGTAAATATAGTGTTTACAAATAACATTATATTAAAGTGTTGTTTTTGAAAGAAGAAATATTATTAAAGTTAAAAATGAAAATTTCACACCAACTTTGAAGGCTTGTAATTGTTAAAAGTTAGCAGGAAGCTTACATACCGATAAGTTGTTGCTGTTTTTATAACACTTTAGTTTGATGTGTCTGAGACTGATGGAACTTTCCTTGACAGTTGTATAATTTTATCCTTTGTATATCATTATTGCTAATGTAAAGAGAGAAATTAATAACAAATTATTTAAAGAATGGGTAAACAGAGTTGAAAACATAACATACTTAAAGAAATTTATTATTAACAAGTATGAACAAGTTATGAGTGAAGAAAAATAGATGTTAATGAATGTTTTGATTCTTTACACAGGAGGTAAGTCATCACTTATAGGTTTCACAGATTCTGTTACTCAAGATTCATTATTATCTCACTTTCGTTCTTACACTTTATTACACAAAATGATTAATTGTCCAATAAAGAGACATGCATTTAACATTTAGATAAATTTTGTATATTTGCACACTACTGTTATTATTATTATTATTTTTTATCTATTTCTTTGATAAGTATAATAAATAATGTTATTGAAACACTATTATTATTCACTCTTCTATTTCTTGAAAATTCCCAAGGGACTAGGTAAAAAAATTTATAGTTTAAATATACAATAGGCTTAATACTGATGTCTTTTTTAAAATGTTTACTTAACCTGTTGAGAAAGTTGTTGGAGCTATTTAGGTGTGAAGGGATTTTGTTGAGGGGAGGGTGCTGTAGCTTTTCAAGTAGCCAAGATACAGATGCTAGTGAAGAGTATGGGTCTTATAGTTGTGTGTCAGTTTTATGATCTTTGGATAATCCATTCAGTTCAGAGGGTTTGGAATGAGATTGTCTAACTTTGTCTAGAAGTTGCATTTTATAGTAGTTCAACTTTTTTCTTTAGTTCTTTTGTAATGTATTTGTTAAGTGGCTTATAACTAGATGTATCATTGAGATACACTTTCATCCTTTCTAAATAAGTGGATGTATTCAATAAAACAAATCCTTTACAATTTTTGCTCACTTTTGCAATTATGTGATCATTAATATACATTTATATATAATTACACACACACACACACACACACATACATATATATAAAGAGATGCATTTTTTAAGTGTATATTTTCCCTCTTTACTATAATACAGTTTTGTACATTTGCACCGGTAGTTCATACAACCAATACTTACCATAAATATTTCTTTCCTTCCAGTTAATGGTAAAGCAACATCAGAGAAGCCATCCATAGGTTCATCCTTCTCTTCTTCAGAACAAGACAAGGAACTAAGTGACTGTACGTCCCCTGGACCAAAGAATGCCACTATTGATGACTTGTTATTGGCTAGTGCTTACACAGGTGATCCAGACAACACCAGAGTTAGTCTGGAGGAGGAACTAAGGTAAATGTGAAGAAGTTTTTTTTGAAACTGCATTTGTAGGATAATGTATTTTATGACAGAATATTGGTAGAATAATGTACTTGATGGCAGGATTTTGGTGGATTAATGTACTGTATTGAAGGAGTGTGGCGGATTACTGTTCTTCATAGTAGGGATTTAGTGCATTAGTTTGTTCTGTGGTAGGAGTTTGGCAGTTTAGTGTACTCTTTTGTAGGAGTTTGGTTTATTAGGGAACTGTTTTGTAGGAGTTTGGTAGATTAGCATATTTTATAGTAGGAGTTTGGTAGATTAGTGTGTTTTATGGTAAGAATTTGATAATGTACTCTTTGGCAGAAAATGGTTATAGCAGTATTCTATGTTGCAGTGAGTTTTATAGTGCTTTAGTAGTAGGTTGTTAGTGTTGTTGTCTATAACAGAAAGTTGTTACATCTATAATAGATTCTCTACCAGAGATTTGTTAGAGTACTCTACTTTATAACATTTAACTAAATCTCTACGTAGGCCAACCATGGTTTTTTGTCAACAGAAATGGAATACTTATCATCAGTGGTGTATTAAAAGGAATTTAAACCCTCTTCATCCTAAAGTATCTACCATAGCCCATTTTATGACTTGGGTATTTGAGAGGAATCTTGCTTCATCTACGGTGGCATTATACAAGGCATCCTTATCCACTATATTTTGGTATTCCAAATATCGGAAGGATTTTGAATCCTCAGTACTATCAGCTCTACTCAAATAATTTCGTATTCTTCGACCCAAACGACCTTTTCAATTACTGAATTGGTATTTTACAGTTGTTTTACATGCATTGTCTCATCCTTTGAGCCTTTAGCTTTGGGTTCTTTGTTTCACCTTTCTCTTAAATTGTATTTTTTGTTATTGTTGGCATGTGGATGTCGTCGGTCGGAGTTGTTTGCAATCCATGTGCATCGGACTCTTTATCATTCCAGATTCGTCCTGCTTCACCCCAACAGGTCTTTTCTTCCCAAGACACTGGTAGTCAGGGAAGGGTAAAGATCCTTCTCACCAATCCATTTGCCAGCCGTTTCTCACTTTTATGACTGCTCCTATGCTGATCATTTGTTATGTCCTGTTAGGGCCTTCAAGTGTTATGTGGCTTATACTAACTCATTTCGAGGTAGTAGGAATTGATTGTTCATTCATTGGAATATTTCTATTTCCCGTGACTTATTTCCCTTTACCCTAATGAGGTGGCTTCATAAATTGATTCACATAACCTATAATGGATTATCATTACAGGAGAAGAATATTTTCTGTGTCACATCTCACCAGATTCGTCATATCTTTATTTCATTAGCTGCCAGGTTGAATTGCCCTTTGGAAGACATTGTGTGGGCTGGTATGTGGACTACTCCTAATACTTTCCTATCTCATTACTTACATGATCTGGCAGTTCCCTCATCTGAGGGTTTACGACTACCCTCTGTAGCTATTTTGACCACATCTGTTAGACTTTAACCAGTGGTGAGTATTTTCGTCAATCATATGCTCTTTTATTTCCAGGGTCTCTTTATTTTTCACTGGATCCCACTCTGTGGCGAGTATTGCCCAGGCAGGTATGCTTTCTCTTCTCAATTCTGCAGTAGCAACCACTTTCACTATAATTACTACAGGTTGGACCGCCATTCATGGACTATCATGAGTAAAGTTAAAGGGGATCCTGCCGATCTTCAGGTTGAATATATCGGGGGTCTGTTTGCTTTTAAAAATGTAGGGAACTTGGTTCACCTATTGCATAGTTCCCAGAGCACTGTTCCTCAGGACTCCCCAACTCTATTAGTGGAAACTCTGGAGTCCTTACTGCCCCCAGTTTCCAGTCGCTGTGGTGGCGGACAGAGGCTTTTCCTCCAGAGTGTTTGAGTGTGTTCTTCCACTCTTGGAGAAGAGTTGGAGGTCCTCCTGCTAGGGTTCATGGATGTTTTTCCCAGATGTCAGTAGGAGTGGCACCAACCTCTGCATGAACCCACTCGTAATTCCAGTTCAGATTTGACATGAAGCTATCCGGTTGGGGCGGTGCATGGAAGGAGGTCCACCATCTCCTCATAATTTCAAAGTGGTTCCATCCTAGGTCCTTGGTTGAGCACAGATTCCATGCCATCACCATAATTCCAGGGGTAAGCAGAATACTCCTTGCCCACTTGGTTTGGGAGTGAGAATGAATGTTCATAATTCCAGATTGGATGAGTGAGTATAATCCAGTTTATTTCTATGTGTATGTTGATATGGTTTATCTAATAGGTATGTCTTTAGTGTTCTCCTCCCCTACCCCAGTAGCAGCCAACTTTAGGTTCCCGTCATTTTGTTTTAACTTGTTAGAAAAAATATATCACTAAGCATTACTTATTGCACACAAGGTCATTATGCATAGTACAGCTTGGGCAAAGTCATCGATAGGCAGTATCTCTCAAGTGACAGTGAAAACCCTTATAAAATAAAATATGGATGACAACGTATAATATCAGTAATTTGGAGATAACATTTTGAAAAATATAGTGCTATTTGTTATTCCTAAATCTTAGTAAAAACAGTTGAACTTGTGCCAGTGAATAACTAAATACATCATATTTTCTTAATTATAGATAATTGAATGAATACATTATATTTACTTAATAATGTATAATGTGTCAGATATCTTAATATTATAGTAGGAACATTTACTGTTTGTCAAGCAACAAATAAGATGCTTGGTACAAGAATGAATACAGTCTGAAAATAAAGAGATAGCTTGAAAGAATTTAATTTATATTCTTTATATTTTTTTAAACCGAGCTTTCAGACCTCAGTATGCTCTTGAGACCAAAACATTAATTATTATGGGATTGTATAGTGATATTGTGGTCAAGTACAAGTGCTGTGTTAGTGTTTGTCATTGTGTCTAAATCTAAGGGCCATATCGGAGTGAAAATACTGTGAGTACTTTTAGTCGAAGTTTTACTCAGCAGTAGTTTTTATTTTATTTAATAAGCAACATTATATAAGAACAAAATGAAAATTTTGACAGTTGAATAGTGTAATACTGCAAAGCAGTATCGCTGTCAGTGCCAGTTACCATAGCCTTCATGAATATGATTGTACATCATGATGGTGTAGGATTATAATGCAACTATAAGTGTTGTTGTTATTTTATCAGCAGATCTGATTCTGTGGATTAAGTGTCCTGTATATAGTATTAGAATTTATAACATGGAAATTTGTGAGTATAGTTTGGCTATCTTGTGAATGAATAAGACTAGTGTAAACATTTTTAGTAATGTGATTGATCAATAAATATATGGCCACTTAATTCAAAGTTTTTGGTACTTTTGATATAGATGAACTTTATATGCACAGTTACAAAGCACATGTTCTCTGAACCAGTGGATGATTTCATTATTGTGTACAGAAATCGTAAAATATGAGTTTACTGCAACATATGGTTAGCAACTGAAACATCTTTACAGCTTTACTTCTGGCATGAGTGAGTGTGGAAATAGCTGAGGAATAAATATATCTTCCCTGGCACAAATCTAACAAGTTGATTAGTTTAACCAGATGTCAGTGACTCTTTCTGTCGGTCTTCTTTCTGTTGCTGTAAAATAGTTGGAAGATATATAACAAAATATGAAAGTTTTGTGCACGTATGCATCAGAAAATATTGATTTGGTAAATACTTAATGTACGAGAAATGTACTTGTTAAAGAACATTCTATTTTACAACAGCAAATATGTTCCATGTATTAAAAGTTGAAAGTAATAATCACAGGTGCTAAAATCTATATATTGTTTATGTTGTAATAATGTTTTTGTGATTTGAAATATAAAGTATGATTGGTATGCACAATCGTAAAAAAGTGGATAAACTGCCTTTGTTGTGTATGTTCTGATAAAGTATCAATAATTTGAGAACAGCATTACCGATCACATTGAAACATTTCAAGATGACTCTTAACCTATGGTCTATCTTGTCTTTATTAAACAACACATTAGATAAATTGGTCAGGGAATTTCATTCTTCCCAATGTGAGTAACATGATTGGAGTCATGTGTGAATAAATCGTATAACATGTGTGATACTTAGCTGGTTTATTTTCATGATTACAAATACTTCATTTGTTTTAGCGGAGGACGCACTTCTCCGTCCACCAGAGAAGCTATTCAGGGAATGTTATCCATGAGCAAAAGTGTCTTTACCTTTGACTCAACTTTGAATCAAGCAGGGGACTCTGTAAGTGCTACGATAAACAGTGGAGAAACTGGCTTAACATCAGAAACTGGGCTTGGAAGCTTGACAGACATCCGAGCCACTAACATGTCTATTCTAGTCAATAGGCCACTTCACATTGATGCTGGTAAATCAGTAGTGAGCCACAACAGATTGATCAGGAGAAAATATCCTGATGAGGAAGATGATGAGGAGTTTGAAGAAAGTTTAAAAAACTGTCCAGAAGATGGGGATTTCAGTGAGTTCATAAAAATGAATTGATTTGAAAGACTATAGATGTATATATTTACATTAATAGTAGTACCTAGTAAGAATTAATTACACTTGGAAAATTTATTGTTTTATTCTTTATAATTTTCTTAAAGATTATTTATATATAAAAAATTGACAGATGATTGATCTGTTTTATAAATTGAAACATATCTTTCTTCTTATAATGTCTGACCTTATCATAGTTCATAACTTAAGAAGAAGAATAGGCAAACAGGGATTTGTGCACGTGAATAATCTGAAACCAACTAGAGAAGGTTTACTGCAGTTTTGTTTTTGGTTATTAACAATTTTACATCATATTCAACCTAAACATACTAGCCTTAGCTTGATGGTGGTAATAAAAATTATATAAAAAAAAGCTTTAATCTCACTCGTCAAATTTAAATAGGTACAAAAATTATCAAAGTTACATGGATACTTTCATAAAGTCCCTATAAACAACCTGAAATTCTTTTAATGAATTACTAGGTCACAATGTGAAGCTTAATTAATGTGTAATATATAAATTTTACTATATATTTTAAATGAATTATTTTGATAAGTTTTTTGACTGTGATATTGTTACTGTTGCAAAAAGTGTACGAGAAAAGCACGATTATTTTTACAAATACATTTTCTGAAAAATATATTTTTTATTATGTAACAGTGGGCAGTGTGGAACATTTTACTTTACAGATTTTCATCAAACGTCTTTCAGTTTTTACTAATCTGCTAAAAAACTTTTTAATAAGTTTATTAACCTTGGCTTTTTAAAAAAATTTAACTTATACATTTAATGACATAAATTCCATTTCTAAATTTGTTCAGTAATTCAGAGTTGTCAAAAAAAGAGAGAGTAAAATCTAAGGATTTTTTTATAACATTTTTATGACTGAGAAAATAATTAACTTATACAGGCTGTGATAATGGCTAGCTGGAATTTTCTGAAATATGAAGTTCTTTGCAATCTCAACTAGCCAATGCTTGCTTAATGTTTATAAATAGTTGGAAATATATTATATGAATGTATGACATAATAATAGCATTATCATTTGATTTACTAGTACACATATACAAGTCATTTGGAACAAGTCAGTTAATGTATTTCATAATTTACATAGCCTAATACTGCTAGGCACATGTCACATATTTCTGTATAAATTATATTTTTCATGCCAGAAACATTGTAAGGTATAGTAGAATGTTACTGTATTTGCCCCAAAATATCAACACGGTTGTTACATATGATCAGCCTCTTCTCTAATGGGATTAAACATACTCTCAGTCCATTGTTGTAGTTTATCTTACAAGAACACATCATCTTTAGTGTGTCAGATTGAACTAAAACAATGACAGGAGTACTGAAGTCACTTAATCATATTAATTGTAACTTAGAGGTTGTATGGATCCAATATCATTCAGACATTGCCATATTTGAAATCTTACTGTAACAAACATTCATGATTCTTAAGGTTATATCTTTAAGTGCTGTTGGTTCAAGTTGTGTTTATGGTGAGAGAAAGTTGGTTATGGACTCCAGCAGCCTTGGGTATACTCGATCTTCTGGACTTAAGAGTCAATGCGCAAGGATGTTTCATATAAATTCCATAAGAAGATGGTGTGCAGCAGCTACTTAAAAGTTATATTGTTTCAGTAACTTCCATAAGAAGACTGAGTACAGAAGTTATTTGAAATGTCATTGCCCACCAACTCTCTTGTCCAGAGTATTCAGTGGACCAAAGGTTACTGGAGTCTATAATCAACCTTTTGTAATTATTTTTAGTTTAGCTTTGTGGTCATGCTCAAGTTCGCTTGTTCTGCTGCAGTTTTCACATTCCTTTGCAGCTTATGTGCACAAATTTTAGGCCTATTGGTAGAACTCTTATGCTTCCCCAGCCATTGGTATTTAAACCATAACTTTTAAAAGTGTTATACAGCATATGTAAATTGTATTTCAGAGAAACTTTTACTTTTCATCTTTTAGCCCACCTGAGGAGTTCTGTTATTGAACACAAGGCTTCTTGGACAGTGTCTTGTGAGAGAAAAAGAGAGATCAATCTGAAATGTTATTTTTACACACTTGATTTTGACTCTGAAAAATGGACAAATTAAAAGGAATGTGAAAAACAACATATACAATTTATGTGATATCTATCACAAGTTTTAGGCCTGTCAGTAGAATTCTAGTACTTTGTCAGCTTTCAACTTTATACATTAATTTTTAAAGTATTAAATGATAAAATATGATTTTCTGTTAGAGTAGAATCGCAAAGAACATTATGTATACATACTGTTGTGCTGCCAATGATCTGTGTTATTCATATGATTGTACAGATGGCTATTTGTGTTTTCCGAATGTTGACACAATTTTACTTTTTAAAAAAGAATTACATGCAGCTACATACACTAGCGAGTTCTTAATTGACACATATCTTTAAGTTCGTACCTTTATTTATATGTTCATTGTCTTGAAAGAATTTACTTCTGTTGCAGAATGTTACATCACACAGTAGTTACTGCATTTTTCGGAGTATTAGACGCACCCTTATTTTGAAGACAGAGTTTTGGGGAACTTTACTATACTAACCTTACTAACTCCATTACTATAATTTGTTTTTTTATTATCTAGGGAGCATTATAAATAATTGTATTTTTAAAAGAAAAAACTACTATTGTTATAAATAACACATTCAATTGAACTAAACTATGCATGCCTATTTAAATATATTTACACATGGCTTGTGTATATCATATATATACATATATATTATTCATACCTTCAGTGTATAGGACGCAAGCAGATTTTGACATCAAATTTTGGGGTAAAAAAGTGCATCTTATACATCGAAAAATATACGGTAACTGTAAAGGGATGTGATCAATATTATCAGTTGATTTAAGAATATTTATGAAACCATTGAATGGTTTTATAAATTCTGTGTTAGGTTTAACATTTCCACAAGTAACATGATTTTATAGAAAATTGTATTTTGCTAAATGATCCAATAATCACTTTCTTATTGTAAAATTATCAATTAAAACAATTTATTTTTTACAAACACCAATCATATCTGGTTATCTGCATGCATAATGTTGTTGATGAATAATCTTCATTATTATCTTGAGTCCATATAGTAACCTAAGTTACTGTTAGGTAAAAGTAAAAGTGTTTGATACAAGTAAAGTTTTTTCACTCCTTTCCAGGACCTGCTTGAGGGCTCAGTGTACTACTTAGAATAACTTTCTGTGGAGTGATCTTACCATTAATGTTTGTATTTTGCTCTGAAAATGGAAGATAAAAAGTTTTATAGAGAAACGTACAAATTTGCCTTTGATTGTCTGATAATTCAAAACTATTAAGTTACAAGATCAGAATTTGCAAATGGGACCCACCATCAATCAGTAGATTATTAGTGCACAACACAAATGGTATTACCATTTAATAAAAATGAGTTAAAAAATTCAGCCATTCAGAATTAGCTCTTATAAATTTTAATGTTTTTACTTTTTAAGAAGGCCATTAAAACTTGCTTAGCAAACATTTCTAAGATTGTAGGCTGACTATCTAGACCAGCGGTTCCGAACCTTTTCACCACCAAGGACCCCCATGTTTTTTGAAAGATTCCATCTACTCAACAAACTGTTTTTCATGCTAATAATTAACTTGTTTTCCATTTTTACACTATCAAATAAAAGACATATATAACTGAGTGTGCAATTAAAAGAACAGCAGAATTAAAAAACTTGCTTGTTTAATGAGATGGTGTTATCTTTGTGGACCCCCAGGATTCCGGGGACTACAGGTTGGGAACCATTGATCTAGATAATTATTTTGAGGAGACAATGTTAAGTCATACACTGTATGTTTTAAATTTTTTTATCATAATCACATTATCACAGGTTATAGTTTTTACTTTCAGTTTATTTAGGGTTTGAAGCTACTGATGAAGAGGGTTATATTTTCAAACGTCGCGGAAGAAGAAAACCAGATGAAGCTTGGAATCCTAAAGGTTTTATTTTTTTATATTTTTCACTAAAACCTTTGTTCAAATCAACATGTATAAGCTTTTCAGTGTTTTATTCATTCATAAACATGAAATTCTTAACCCTTTCCTGACCTGTGGATGTTCAGGTCACTCTTAAGTGCATGCTCTTAAAGCAACTTTAAAAGTTTAATATCAAAATACGATTCTAATACCATTTCAATAGTGCTTTTCTCAAAAATAGTGCAGAATTGATATTTCAGAAAACAAATTCACACTTTCATTTCTGGTGTGTCTTTAGGTGTCTGAACTGTAAGTATCTCACTTCTATTTTTTTTTGGTTACTGTGACATTTATTTTGTTTCTACATTTCCTCTTTCACCGACTGAATTTATTGGTAAACCCACATTTATTGCACCTCTCAGTGGGGTCTTGTAGACTTTGACTGGTTTCCAGCTTTGGAAAAAGATAAAGTATAAAATTGCTAATTGCCAAAAATGGGGAGTGCTAACCTATAATGCTATGTGACATGATTTCAATAGTATGTGTGCAACTTAGTTACACGGCTACACTTGCAAATAGTGAGGTTTGGTGCAATGAAAGTTAATAAAGAGCAACATCATAACTGAATTTTGAAATACTTCACAATAAATTAGATTTGTCTTTGATTTGGTTTTTGATGATCTTTTCATTTCTGATAATGTTTTTGTGTTATATCTGTTTGAAAGTTACAGGAATAATCTTTTATGATAAGATGTCAAGTTAGGATATTGAGGTTTAGCGAGTGTCTGTAGCTAAGGCTTCTGAAGGCAAACTAATCGAATGACACAATTTTTTTTTTCTTTATTAACTATACTTTTAAGTTTTTTGTGTTCCAATAACACATACTAATGCAAGTATTTATTTATTGAAAACAAACTATTATTAGATACAAATTGATTTCAGTCAAAAATGTCATTGATAATATATCATGCTTCCATGCCTGATTAAGGTCATTGTTAACCAGTACATCTTTAACTCTGTATGATTTACCATGGGAAGTCAACTCTTTTGGTTGGCAAAATAAAGTATGAATAGAAATGTGTTGATTATCAAACAAAATAAAATTTGTTGGATATATAAAATAAAACTTTTTGATCAATAATAAAAAAATTGAAAATCTAAGGCAAAAAAAAAAGAAGTATTTTTATTATTTTTTCAAAACAGTGCTTCATGACAAAATTGGGGACATTTCACAACTTTAAGAAATGATAGAAATACTGTATCAAATTTTATGTTTTTTCAGGAACTAAACATTTGGAATGTTTCTACCATGTTTCATTGAATTTGGTTATGTATTATCACTGTAAGAATGTAAAGAAGGGAACATCAGTGATACTACTCTAGTCTGGAAAGGGTTAATATTGTTAATAGGTAAATATTAGGTGGTTGTTTGTCTGTTTAATATTGGTATCCTAATGATTTAAGCAACATCATTTGACTTGTTTTTTTCACAGTTAGATATTAATTGTATATGTGAGGGTTTTATATGTAATTTCTTTACAAATAAGTAAGATGTTACATAAAAAAACAATATAACTTCATGATTATTGCACCAAAGCTCTAGACTTATTTTAAAATGTTTAATAGAAATGCTTAAGTGACAATAACTTTAATTGATATTCTAGCTAAATTAGTACCAAATTGTCCCAAGCCAGAACGGCCAGTTCGAGAAGGTGTGAGAAAAGAAGTGGTTGAATCAGGAATAGCTGCAGCTGCTGCGAAGCTAGCTAACTTACCAGTAAGTAGAAAGAATTATCTGGTTTATTGTGGGAAAACAGAGGTACTAAACTTCAGAGGTGTACAGAAAAGCTTAGTTTTACATTTTCATGTTGATAGTCTGATTTGCTTTCTTTTGGTAAAGTTAAAACACCAGATACTTATACTGTATTTTTAAATGTTATATTTTTAAGCCTTTGCATAAAAATCATACTTCAGCACATTTTCTCTTGCTAGAAATAGAAGTTAAAGTCTTTATTGAATTAAATGTTTTGAATAGAAAACATGTTGATTCATACTACAATGCTTACTGAGTTCTGAATTTAATGGGATACATTTTTTATGTTACCTTCCATGAAACAAAGCATAGAGGTATTTTGACAGAAACAAGAAATCTTTCTGTACTGTCCCTAAATGGGTTTCCAGTAAGAAAAATATAATTGCATTTTAACCTTGTGTGCTGTATGCCTCTGCCGATGAGGCCTTTCATTCAGTATCAGAACTCATCAGGTTGGCTGTGCATGCCTGTATTATATGGCCAGTAAAGAAATATGTATTAAAGATTATTATCAGCCTTATTTTTAGAAGTTATTAAAGATATCAACATTATCTATTAGCATTTGATTTTATTGTGATTTCATCTGTATTATATACATTGTAGCCTCAGAAACGTTCATATAACAAGAAGAAAGTCATCCACCCTAAAAGTAAAGAAGAGCATTTGTTCAATCCTCAGCCTGGTCCTTCTCATCTCACGGACTTTTCCTTAAAAAGACCAGCTTCAGTGGAGATGCTGTCTAAAGGTCAGGATTTTAAATCTAAATAATAAAAGATAAGTTATTGATTCAAACAACTTATTTCTTAACAAATATTAAAGATACAAAATATCAGATGGATTACTAGTTTGGTATTCTATAAACCTTTCAAAATTTTATTTAAATGCATTGATTTATCGTAGTTTATTTGATGTTTTCTGAAGTTTGTTAATTTAATCAATAGAATTTTCTAAACCACAAAAAAGATTTAAAAGGACTAGATATCCAATGTGAACCAGAAATCTTATTCTTACTATCTCATTGAAATATCAGCGTTTTTGTTTTTTTGTTATAGTATTTATTATCTAATGATAGCTGGCTTATTTGAAGTAGAAGAACAGTATTCAATAAAAAAGAAGAATAAAAGAAATAAAATTACCTTAATTGCTGAAGAGGAGTTTACATGTTACCAGATGTCTAATATTAATATTTTTTGTTTATAAAAAGTAATGGTACATATTAGAGGTGTAATAGCAGTGGCTAATAGTTTCAGCTCTCCTTTCACCACACTAAATGCATTGCAGCATTTTTTGTTGCATAGTCCAAGGTAGGGTAAGTGTTGCTTAGTTGTTGAATACAAACTCTAACTATGAAGGTTACTGAGATACCTGATTGTTTTGTTTTAGTGATAGCTTAGATAAAGATTGCTATAAAGTGAATTAAAGCCCAAACTTGGAAGATCACTTAGGAAAAACCATTAGATGCATGGGTTCTTTGTTTAGCCCAATGAATCAGAGTAACAAAAACATTAAATATTGTCTATTGTTTATTAATCTAAGATTTCTGTAGCTTATTTTTTTAATCCTTTGGAAGAGATTAACAAATAAAATAATGATGTGTAAGAGAAGAAGGTTTAGTCTGATGATAAGAATAATTATACTATTAATTTTGTCTGCTAAGCCATATTATTTATTTATTTTCAGTTAAAAACCTAAAAAAGGATTTGCTACAGCCAAGCAGAGATTAGGAAAAATCTTGAAAATCCATAAAATGTTACACTGACCATCTGTTTTCTAGTGAATTCACCAGTTTATGATCAGAGTACCTGGAATGTTCCCCTGACCGTGTTGATCTGTTTTAGTAACTGATCGTGTGAAAAATGGAAGACTTTGACTCTCAGGGAAACTAAGGAGCATGCAGACTGCATGACCTTTACCACATCAACTTGCCTTGTTATTAATTTAGTAGCTCTGTTGTAGGCCTGTTGCTTTTGTTTCAGACACTTTCGTTATCAGTCTGATACTGTAACAACATTTGATGGTGTTGACGATAAGTCACCCATTCAATTTAAATTTTATTGCACAAATCTGTTTAGTAAGTTAAAATTGGTAACATGTTTTTCGTACATTTAGAAATGTTAACTCCACACATCTTTTTACTGGTAAGATGCCAATTGAGATACACCATTAAACTTATGAACACCATTTGATATTTTTCTACTAGGTTCTAAACAGTAACTAAGGAGATCAGAATATGAGCAATTTTTATTATTGTACAACAGTAAAGATTAATATTCTATTAGCTAAACAAGTATCAGCCTTGTTATTACAGGTGTTTTGTAGTACAGATAATTCTTTATTAGATACATTTAATACATCATCATTACCAGTTGTTGAATAGAAACTGAGATAAACTATTATTAAAAATTAGTTAATGAAATTTCTTCAATTGGTTCAGAGGTATAATAAAATTTTGTAGTACTGGTAAGATGCCAATTGAGATACACCATTAAACTTATGAACACCATTTGATATTTTTCTACTAGGTTCTAAACAGTAACTAAGGAGATCAGAATATGAGCAATAGTTAATTGGTTCAGAGGTATTATAAAATTTTGTAGTACTGTACATAAGCATTTGACTAATATTTCTGAGTTTACCGCTTTAACTAGAATGGGAGATATCAGTGCAATCATTAAATCTCAATGAAGATTGATATCTCGGTGATAGACAACTAGAAATTTTGATTCATCGGTAATTAATATCAGCTGTACTGTTAAATAGTAATAGAAGGTTCATCCCTTTTGTTTGGTTTTAGCAAAAGGAAAGCCTGTTTATGGTTTTTAGAACATTAAGTATTCAAACAGATGAATGTGCTTTGAAATCTTGCTGTTTTGTCTACTTAATTACTTCATAGAACAGATTCGTTCTTTTGTATGGTGAAATCTTGTATGACTACAGTGTTTAATATCTATTTAATTTTCTTACATATAGTAATTAGTGTGGATTGTTTTTAACATCTGTGGTTTAATGGTTTTATATTATAGATGTTTTGCAAAGAAGAATAAAGTATGCATTGTGTTTGATATGAAAAAAGACAATCATTTTGAGAAGATGTATAAAGTTGAGCTTGGTGATAGTATTCTGTGTAAGGTCAAACAACATTATTAAACACATTGAGATACATTCAGCATCTCTTTAGTTTAATTAGTGCTTTTCTACTTTCGATATTTGGTTTATTGGCCCATTAGCATTATGTTTTTACAACCTCTAGGTTTTAATCAAAGCTTTAGTCAGTCAACATTACTTAATGTCCAAATAACACAACATCATGGTCAGGAGCATTGCTATAGAATTACAATCTTAGACAAGACATATGTTTGTAAAAATAGTAAATGCATGAATAGTCACTCATTGATGAAAAATTCAAGTACTAATGTATATATATACATATTTTAAAGGCAGATAAAACTTGTATGCAAGTTATTCACACACATACATTTATATTTGTGACCTCCCACACATATAAATCAGTAATTTTATCACATCTTTGGTCTTTTTCTTATGACTCACTATGTAGTTATAATTTTGAACTAAGTGAATTATAAAGGTGTTTGAAATACAGAAGCTAAAATAGAACATATTATTAAGGACAGTGTGTTTGGAGGAGAAGGATGGGATAAGTTAGTGTTGCCCTTCTACAGATCGACATGTAACCCTACATCACTCCTCATTATAACTTCCAAACTAATTACAGTAGATCATATGGTGATAATATGCTGGTGCTTTGACTTTAAATACATATATTTGATATGTACCCTGATCAAAGGATTTGCCAGCACAGTTATTAAAATATTAGTCAACAAGACTCTCTAAACGTTTTCTTTACACTGAAAGAACTTTGCTAGTGAACAGACATCTCACATCTCTTGTTACTTGTTATAATATTATAAGCTTCCCACACTAAATGATAGTTTCTTTCTTATATCAACAACTTATTACCTACATTTGCAGATTAAGAAGTATTGACTTAAGTATGCATGCAATTGATAATGCTTGGAGATGGCTTGAATGGGTAATGAAGAAAAACTTTAAAATAAGTTTAACATAACAGCAAATGTACAACATTTCTACAAGGTTTTGTCATCATCAGGTACTAGTAGTTTACACTGACATATATATATATATGTATATATACAGTATGGAACAAAGAGGTCACATGACCAAATACTATTGCAAGACTTAGAGGAGATACCTTGGCACTCCAGGGTGTTGGTTTAGTAGTAGGGTTGTTTTGTTCAATTAAGATAGATTCCTTG